GACGAACATGATTACGACGTAGCCAATAGCAATGTAACACATGAGAATCTTAAGTGCCATTTGCAAATTTGGCAGGTTGCGACTGGGAAGTAGTTAGCTTTAAAGGTGTGCTGAAAATAGAACAAATGATGAACTTACCAAAGACGCCACAAGAAGAGCCAAATGCAAATCTTGACACACCAGGTAGAAGCAAGCATACATTGTTCAAGCGGAATGACAATGATAGAGCCATAAATGCGCGAAGTCACGTCGTCAGGGTCAGCCATAATCGAAGCCAGCTGCTCTGGAGGGAACAAATTGGTTTCGTAACGAGCGGAAACATTGATCAAAATCAAGAGAACTGTGTAGAAACACTGCAAGTTTGTTAGATACAAATTGTCATAAAGCGCAGCATACGAATAATCAATGCGACTTACCATTGTGACACACATGAGCCAATCTTCAAATCTCATCCTGGCCATGACCCAGGTAGCATTGAGACTATAATAAACAACCGCGTCAGTCGAACCATTACATAAAGGCTACAATCTCTGAAGCAGCTTCGAGAAGGGTAGAAGATTGTACTTACATGCGGAAACCAAACAAGATGAAAGAAGGAATCACAAAACCAATAGTATTATGGAGGAGCTCAGAATTTGATGGAGAAACATCCCCCCGAGGAATGATCAGAGGAGCCATCTTGACTCTCAGGTCCTGATAACTTGTATTTTGTGTTGATTATTTGTTATGGTTATACACTGAACTGACAAAAAAAGTTGGTTGTTGTTTTGGATAGAAAGAAGTTTTCAAAAAGAAAACTTCTTTAATGGAAAGGTCACAACTCGGAGATGGAAGTGAAAAGAATTTGAAGTTGAAAGATGATCAATTGAGTGTGAATGTGGGTGTGAATGCGAATGCGAACGTGAATATGTAGATTGTGCCCCTCTTGGTGAATACCTCTCTTCCTCCTGTCCCAAAATTGACGCTAGTACCAACTTTAAATTTGACACTCCGGCTCTTCATGAAGTCGGCTGAGGGGAGGGGAAACACCAACATTCAAGAAAGATAAGAAGAGAAGAGAAAGAGAGAATGAAGATTTCTAGAAGAGACAAATATCATCTGAAGAAGAAGTTTCTAAAACCCACAAGATGAAATTTGGGGTCTCACAACCTTATCCGATCTTGTCCTACTTTTTGATACATCGAATCTTCAGCGCTTGGCTCTTTGGATTGGCAAGCAAGCAATCAAGCAAGCATATACAATCTCGGACTCGAGACCTAAAGCTGCAACCTGCCATCTTACTTCAACGTTGCGCAACAGAAAATCTTAATGATGTTGTTATGCAGCCCTACTCTCCAGTTCAAGCTACCCCTCCCGTTCTTTAAGTTCTTAGAGTTCTCCGAAAAGCTACCATACCATCGCTGACCGGTTCAACGATGTTTTTCTAGGATTGGCGCCACAAATTGAGATGCGCATCAGTTCCTTTTCGACTTCACAGAATCTAACTCTTGATCATCGAACGGGAAATTGCATAATTTGCAAGGTTGCTATCCATGAATCATACGTTGAAGCTTGGCCACAGCCGTGAAACATATCAAGACCAGTTCTGCAATATTGCAGTAGTTGTGTAAGAAGAATATGCAACTACCCGCAATAAGTGAATTCTTTGGTTATTGTAGCGAGAGCCGTTGCTGACACACAAAAGATATTATTGTCATCTTTAGCAAGAGCGATTCTGCAAGGCAAGGGCATACCATCTAGATGCACCAACGTCACATACCTCTACATGATTCTTTACATCACTAAGTAAACCTCTAGCTTCGCATTGCAGCGATCTACGAGACACAATGGAATCCGATTGAGCGCAAGGCAGAGTTTGACAACGATCAAAATCTGGGGAGCTGGTAAAGTTCGTACTCTCTGGCACTACATGACTAAGATACAGTAGCGCTGCTCTGGATCGCCGACCAAAATACGGGATACCGATGATCCGAGACTGGCATCCGGATGGCTCCTACATTTGTCAAATTTGCATAGATAGGTATAGGGAAATCCATTAAGAACATGAAGAAACGTTTGGCATGCCAAACTTTGGGGTCAGATTCTGTACTAGACTCTATGACCTTGGGATGAAATATTGGAGGTTCACTGACAGCCGTCTAGCAATATTTGTAACTCTAACGCCATGCTCAATTTATCAATGCCCATTTGTTCGTTCCTTCATCTAATTGTATTATGCCACAGGGGTAATGTATGCCCTCAAGGCTGTCGTGGCATCACCATCATGAGCCCTCAATAAGTCCGTGGCCTTGATCTTTGTCAATTCGAGTTCCTCAACCTGTAATAGAAACTTGATTAGCCTCGAGCACTGGGATCAAGCATCAAATTATAGCTAGGAAGCAATATCGATGAGGGGAATATGACAGGCAGAACGTGATCGGTAAAAGCAAACCAAATCGCAGTACTTTCAGAGTTAGGTGGCTAAGAACAAAGACTTCATCTTGGATAAAGAGGATATAACTCGAATGAATGCTCAATAGCCGAGTTCCGTATATTAGAATTAACATACCAATAGATTAACATCGGCCGCTTCAACCTTTACTATCTTCTTCACAACCTTCTTCTCATCTCCCTTCTTTGCAACCTTTCCATTTGTAGCGCTGGTACCTGCCAACCTTTCCATAGCTTTCCTCACAGCCTCTTGATCTACCTCTTTTGTCACGGTCGAGTCATCTTCACGAGGGGCATCGAGAGAGGAGAGAGCAGCAGCAGCTTTACGATCTTCTGCCGACTTGGCCTTTTGAGGGATTTCATCATCTACATCGCCTGTAGTTGCACCTTCAACTAATGTAGGAGGTTGGGATTCGGACATTTTGATAACAAAAAGATTTGCAGGTGAATGTTAATTGTTGTTTGAACTTTGCACAAGGAAGACAAGACTGTCCGAGTGACGTCTAGAAGGATCCAAGCACAATCATTGATTTAAGTTTAGGGTTGGGGCTGCAAATCCCACACCTGTAGGGCTGATACTGGCTGACAGGCTTATATCGGAAAACTTGTTCCCCGACGGTAGCCTGATATAGCCTAATACTCTGAGGGGCTGAGGGGTACCCAACCACAAGCTCGGGCCAAGTGAAATAAAGCCACACACTTTAATTTTTATTATTTGAACCCCTCCTCCGCAAAACAATCCCATTATTTCTCCAACTTTCTTTTTTGGTCATTTAAATTTAACTGGTTATTGCATTACAGCTCGGAATAGCTTCATAATTTCCAATCTAGGAATATCACCAAAGGACCTAATTCCTTCAAGATGCCAACCTTTGGTCCTGGAGCAGGATTGGGAATTGGTTATGATGGAGCCCAAATGGCCAGACCCATTGACTCACATCGCCAGGTTGAGCCGTGGTCGCCAAGTTCTTGGACTGCAAGACCGATCAAACAAGATGCAATCTATGAAGACCGCAAGAATGTAGAGAAATCATTGTCGAAACTTCAACGTCTTCCTCCCATTGTTACTCCCACGGAAATCATTCAGCTCAAAGCAAGTTTACGGGATGTAGCTCTTGGCAAAGCATTTCTCCTTCAAGGGGGTGATTGTGCTGAACTATTCGACTACTGTGAGGAGAATGCTATCGAATCAAAGATCAAGCTCTTACTTCAAATGAGTTTGGTTCTTGTCTGGGGAGCCAACAAAAAGGTAGTCAGAATTGCTAGAATGGCTGGGCAATATGCGAAGCCGAGATCAAGCCCCACTGAGATGGTAGATGGCAAGGAGACCCCGTCTTTCAGAGGAGACATCTTGAATGGTTACGAGATTGATGAGAGGGACTTAGATCCACAGAGACTTGTTAGGTAAGCAAATACCTGTGGGGCTATCACGGTACTTGACTGACTCGCAGCAGCGCGTACTTTCACTCTGCAGCTACTCTTAACTTCATTCGCGCGTCTCTTTCATCTGGTATTGCCGACCTGCATAGCCCAATGAACTGGGGTCTTGGTCATGTTCGGGACCCAGGTTTGCAGGAGCAATACTCGAAAATTGTAGACTCTATTAGTGAGAGTTTACGTTTCATGCGTACCATTGGTGCCGATACAGCTGATCAACTTCGAGGAGTCGAGCTCTATACTAGTCACGAAGGTCTTCTACTCGAATATGAACAGAGTCTCACTCGACTTCTCAAAGACCCATCTCAAAACTTACAAGCCGGTGCAAACGCCGAAAAGAATGTCGATCCTACTAAGGATGGAAAGGCATACTTCAATACATCAGCACACTTTCTTTGGATTGGTGACCGGACAAGACAAGTAGACGGGGCACATATTGAGTACTTTCGCGGTATAGCCAATCCTATCGGCGTCAAAGTAGGCCCTACAACTTCTTCCTCGGATCTTTTGGAGCTTCTTCGAAAACTCAACCCAACAGTAGAAGTTGGTAAAATAACACTCATCACTCGTTACGGAGCATCAAAGGTTCGCACACTTCTTCCCAAACATATTCGAACAGTCGAAGATAGCGAATATGCCCGAAGTGTCGTCTGGCAATGCGATCCAATGCACGGAAACACGAGATCTACTTCGACCGGCATCAAAACGAGACAATTCACAGATATCTTCTCCGAACTTCAAGAGACTTTGGCAGTCCATCAAGAGGAAGGAAGCTACCTTGGAGGTGTTCACCTTGAATTGACCGGTGATGCTGTGACAGAATGTACTGGCGGTAGCGAGGAGCTTGCCGAGGAAGATTTATCGTTAAACTACACCAGCTTTTGCGATCCAAGGCTAAACGAAAAACAAGCACTAGAAATGGCCTTCTTGATTGCAGGTCATTTCCGTGAGGGACCTGCCAAGAATTAGATTAAATGAATATCTAGTACACATGATTGTCGTTTGCGCTGGAACGCTGAATTTCCTGGTGACTGCATATCTTCTTTCCTTGTTTGCGATTTATATCTCATCACTAATCGAGTCTATCGATGCGAGCGTCCTAATTCTCCGAATCCTTCTCTTGATTTATGTCAATGGTGCCTGATCGATGCTATTTCAGTCATCCATTGCACATCATCTTCCTCAAAATCATCATTGTCCACACCGACGTTGCGGCTGTAAGTGCTGCTACAAATGTCATTATCGAGGCGGCACTGCTATCTGCGGTCTGCGAATACGAAAGTATGCTATTAATTGCTTGACTCCTAACATTTCAATTTGTTTTCCTTGGAATGTCGCAGAATAACATCAGAAACGTCCCCTCGCGCGAGATCCACTCTCTAGGAATGCCGATCATTGCGGGTCCACTACGCGAGTGTAATGGTGGGTTCTTTGAAGATATCAGATTGAATTATGTGCCAAGCCCAAGTGAAATAGTTCTATCCCAATATTGCTAGACATTTTCATGTGGCTAAAGTTGTTGTTAAGTATCGGACGTACCATATGCGCTACGCCTGCCAACGATGCCAATTCTACAAAAGGATGATGATTGAGCACAGTGCCGTTAGCACGCTTGATATGTAAATCATTCTCAGCGAAACAGCATGCTTAATCGTTTGATTAATTGTTGATATCATACCCTTTGGCAATTCAACGAATCGTTCTGAAGAAAAGGTTGTAAGGCCGTGAGTGTGTCGGCAGAGAGAAAGGGCGCACGCGGTACAATGAGCGGCCCATAACTTGTGGAGATTTGTTCTGACACACTATCATGTACCTCATTGCAGAATCTCAATGGGTGAACCTCAAATTGCCATTCCTGGAGAATTATCAAACTGCTCTTATTGTTTTGATCAGAGTACTGAGATTTGATGCTTGGATGATCATAGTTGCAACTATTTTGCAAAAGCATTGAGCTCCTATGCAACGAGTCTCAAGTTAGCTACTTTCATTCATTAAAGTCTGGGCAAATCATCTTACTGCTCGTACGACGACAGCCAGCATCTAATGTTCTTTCGTGCGATAGAAAGAGATTTCTTCCGTACGTAGTGCTTTGAATAACTGATAAGGGGAGCATTTTGTAGAAGCATTGGTTCTTAGGTGATTTGAGAAACTTCTTAATAAGAAAAAATTGCAATCGCTAGACTCACTCCTGAAGCGATATACTGGAATCGAAAAGATTTTTTTTTCCCAAGAAGCTTGAGATGGAACAAGAATTAATATCTTAGTTCCTGGAAATACTCTTTTGGAATTGGTGTCCTGAGGCCGTCGAATTTCGGTCTACTGGATGAGAGATGAATGCCATCATTTTCTACAGGTTATGATTAGTATTAAAGTAAATTGCTGGAAAATCTTCCAGCCATGATTTAGCTGTTCTCTCTTCCTTGAAAGGACATACTTGCAAATTGAGCTAGTTATGATGGATCATGGGATAGATGACAGGATGACTGAATGAGAACCCAAAAAGCAGAGAGCCTTGTGAAAAAAGAGATCAGGTAAAGCATTGAAAATTTTGCATTGTATTGAGTCTATCTCAAAGGCTTATCAAGTGGTGGTTCCTTATATGTCCTTCATTCTAATCGATGACGAGAAGGATGATGAGGTTTTGAATGGTAGAGAAAATGGCATTTGGAAGTAACTTAAACCTTGCTACTTACTACCTGTCGCTGCTAATGTGAATAATTTAAAGGAGATCAAAAGAATTCATAGTGTTTCTCCCCGTACTTCTATTTTATGGCTTCAATTTGGGGAAAGGAGCATGTGAGCATATATTCACCAAAAAAATTTGTCAGTTCTTGTTTGTAGTTCAAGGTCTGCGGAATAGGATGATATGTCTCTTGAAAGTCAGTGTTGATCATACCTACTTATAAATCGGGCTTTCTCTTTTCAATACACATATATGCGTTATTAATATCAGACTTTGCCATGATTGATATGGATTGTGCTATTGTACACGTGCCTTTTTATCGTCGCTATTGTATATTATCGATATATCTACATTTAATCCAGCTAAATATATACATGTAAAGTATCTTATCCCCCTGCCAATTTCATTTGCTAAACACCATGCTCGAGCATCCTTTCTTATATACAGGTACCGACAACACTGTCGGTGCTATTCTTGATGTAAGAGTATAGAGGATTAGAAGAACCAGCACACAAAACACCTTTAACAAACACACCTGCAACCAGATCGGCGGCAATAGGAGAAGTATGAGTGTGGTCATTTGGATAATAGGTGTCAACAGTTGTAGCACCAAGGACAGCGTATTGATTGGCAAGATATGTACCGTGGTCAATGAAGCTAGCCATGCTTCCAACGTTCTCCACAACAATCTCGCCATACCCGGTGAAACGAGGGGATGTGTATGAGCATGTACCTGTCTCACATGTGTTGTCTGGAGTGGGAGAGGAGATGATGACATAGGCGCCCTTCGCAGTCATGAGCTCAGTGGCATTGGTGAGATAGGTGGGGTATGTTTGAACGATTACACCAGCGTCTGTGGTGCAGGTTTCGTTACCGGCTCCGACGCAATCGGAGCGGAGGTTATCGGTGGGGGTAAGGGATCCTCCATCATTGTGTCCGAACTCAATGATGACGATGTCGCCAGACTTTATGGTATCAATGACGGCGCCGAAGCGATTTTCGTCGGTGTAGGAACGGGCTGAGCGGCCGGCTTTGGCATCATTGACGACGGGGATGGTAAGGGAATATGGGAGGTAGACACCCCAACCTGTAGTTGTTAGCTATATACACTATATGAAAACCTTGATGCGTTATATCTACCTTGAGTTCCAGTTCCACCTCCACCGAGAGCCATTGTAGAATCACCACACATATACACCGTTGGAGATGCAGCTGATGCGGCAAGTACGACAGCGCTAGAAGCAACGACAGTACTGGAAGCAGCAACGATGCTTGAGGCCACAGAAGTAGCGGCAACGGTAGAGGCACTTGTGGACGAAGCAGTGTCTTCAGGAGCGGCAGCTGATGAAGCGCTTGAAGGAGACCATGTCGGTCTTACATGTCCCCCGTTAGAGCTGCCATGTGCGTGATTGAATGGGACCGCCGAAACCGAAGCTGCCAAGGTGGCCAAAAGAAGCCCTGATGTAGTCTTCATATTGATTTGAGAGTTTGATTTTTCGTGCTTTATACTTGAAAGATAGTGATCAAATAGAAGAGCGCAGGTCAAGTGTGTAGTAAACAAGAATAGAAAAGAACGAATGTAACCTGTACAAGCAATAGAAAATGAATGAATAGTACAATGAAGAAGCAAAGTCACCGAGTTCGAATAATGATAGACGGAGTACAGAAAAGAGTACTTCGTCCTACCTTGGGTATATATTCAATTGCATTATCCCCCACACAAGGAATCATGTTTCCGCTTGGAGGATCTTTAGATGAAGGAACAATAGTTCCTATACCCATCGATGCCGTGCAAGTTTCCACCCCCATCAATAAACGAACATGTTTGTACCAAATCGGGCCAAGAGGTCTAGATTACACGACGAGATCTCTCCTCATTGGTAACGCTCTTCACGGAGATGCTCGAAACGAACCAAAATGACCGAAGCTAAGATCTCGACAATCATATTGACAAGCAAGCTTACCAGACAGAGGCGTGTCGCTTGGATGATGTGGGTTTTAGATAAAACGAGATGGGATGGATTTGACAGTGGTTGAAACCTAAATTGTGAAAGATAGATTGTTTTAAATTAATGAGGGGACGGGCGCTTACTAGAATGGGAATTATATTAACTAGAAGGGGAGTTTCTTACATAATCCATGCCTGAGGCGTAAGTTTCTCGGAGGTTTTTAATTATCCCGAGTGAACATAAGACGTTTTGATATATGTTAACGGCGCAGAAGCATGGGAAGGGTATTTTGTGCAGTACCGGTAGATCTAGTTGTCCAGCATTGAGTTTCAACGCTTGCGTTGAGGCCCCACGTAGTTTTTTTCGTTCCTGGCTTGAAGGTAGAATGATACTTTGCACCCGGCTCAAGCTTACCCAGATATTCCAGACGTATTTCCTCTCTCTTCCCCCGCTTAAATCTTACCCAGGTAGCAAACGAAGTTTCGTAGGAAGACCTAAGAGATCACGCTAACCTTAATCTACCCCTTGTATTTTCGTCCGAATTCTCTCTGTCTCATCTCATCTTGACTTCACTTAGCTTGGCTTTACTATATCGTTCTTCTCTTCAAGTCTTCTGTTCGATTGCTGCGGCCATTCCAAACAATGAGTTTTAAACAATAGTCTAGACAACTCAATTTCTTCTTCTCATCACAACTGGGCTGTATATTATGTGAGGAAAGCACGGTATATTTTAACCACCTCGCTTCCTCGAGTAAACTGTGGAAGTGATAAAGACATTTCGATTTTGGACAGTCAATATCACAGAGGTATAACCTTTAAAAAGCATACCAGTGGACAGACCATGTGGATCTATTTGTGTTGGTTTGAGCTATTGTGTTGGCATAACTTAATTGCCTTGTGTGAAATGATCGAGAAAGTTTTGAGCAATGAGTCTAATTTATATTAATAGGACTAAAGAGTAATGATAATAGAAAAGGTGAGTATTATCATGAGGCTTATTACCCTATAAGTGAAAATTCACAACAAGAAAAGCAGTCTCCAAGCTGTTGCCACTTTTCCCAAGTACTTGAGAATATCACTGACATTCAATTTCGAAGCACTCATTCGCTTTTGCCACCAATCATATCCATTACCCAATCCAATCCACACTGGGTGAGCTCGTATTACTACCACATGCGCTATCATCGCAGGTGTGTAACAAGTGCCTACAATTCTTCAAGCATTCCACTTTGTTTTTCCTCTGAATGCCCGTCACTGAATCATATATACCACTATGATCCGGTTTCGGTAACGAAGGGAACCTCGCCTGGATTTTCAACAGGCTTTCGCGTGCAGCGGAGATCCACGACGAAGAAGAATTTCTCTTAGGGATATACAGATTCAAATCTACTTGTGGAATGCTAGTATACTTATCCTGAATCAAAGACAGACTTTGCCGAGCCGATGATCTTGGTGCTGATATAGTTTCTGATATGTCGGGAGATACCATAGGTTGGGTATTATGGCTGGCTTTCTTGCCGTCCCTCAGATTACCGTGGGGGCTTGTGGGGGGCGATGGGATTAAACGTGTAACGGGATCCTTGCTACTGTTGCGAGTGGCAAGCGTCGACCAGAAGCTTGCTGGCTCCGCTCCGATTTCTGTATTCAATTTAGGAAATGCAGCATCTTGTAGGTGTTTGAACCATGATTTTTTCCCTTCGCAGTGATTGGATTCAACCGACAAACAATCAATTATAGTAGCTTTTCTCAGCTTGGACAACATTTGTGAGCTCGCACATCTTCGAACTCCTGTACATGATCCAAGCGAAGAGCCGATTGCCGTGGCATTTCCAGAGCGAGCTGGTGCTTTGGGGTGCGCTTTGATGATACTTTTCTTTCGTTGTATACCAGCGTCAGACTTTTGGCGTTTCGGAGCATCGTATTCGAAGTTATTCAACCACGAGCATACTCTATCCGGGGGGCTGATGGCAGTCTCGTTAAGCCATGAATTTCGCGTTATAGGGGTTGTCACCATACCGCTTAGCATGGGTGAACTTATCGCAATTCGAGCATCGATTCCAATGCTATAAAGAGAGTGAGATGGGCGGGCATTAATTCCTTTAGAAACTATGTCGCCGAAGAGCCGGGATTCACGAAGGGGTATAGATATATCTGGGAGTGGGGAACGCCACTCATTGGTCGATTTTCTAGGAAGGGGAGGAAATGAAATTACATGATGTTTGGATGATTCTTGTTCCGTAATTGTAATGAAATTGCCATCATCCCCATTTACGACCGGCTCACATTGCCAGGACCATTTGTTGATGGACATGCGTGCATTGGTGGGGTCAAAGGTGCCTTTATTCTTGCTAGGTCGATGCTCTTGATTGAGATTTTCTCGGTGCTGAGAGCTTTTCCTTGTATCGTCATGTCTAGGACTTGCAATATCATCTTGATCTGTGCTGGCCTGACTGGAACACTTTGACTCTCCTTCGAAGTGAGCATGGTCTCTCTCACTTAAATGAGATTCTTGTTGACTGTGCTCCTCCCAAATTACTTCATGCACACTTTCGGGATCCCCTTCTGACTGTCGGTCAAGCCGGCCAAAATTTGTTTGAGAAATTCCCAGAAAGTTTTCCGAATTTCCTGGAATTTCTGGGTTCACAATGCAAGTTGGGGAACGCGGCAAATTAGGAGAAAATGTTCTGGTAGTAGAATTGCCAAGTTGTGAGGTCTCTTTTGAGTTGTCCGATTGTGCTGCATGTATGTGAATTTCACAGGAAGAGGGACGCACTATAGGTACTACGCCTTTGCTTGTGAAAGACAATGACGATAACCTGCTCCCACGCGGTGATTGATCTTGACTCGAGCCATTTGCGGCTGAAACAGGCGGGCGACCTTCGTGCGTAGGGAGTAGACCTGCTTGGAGCAATTCCATCACAGCTTCGACATCCTCTCGAGTGATGATATATGCCTCTGAATCTTGTGGTAGGTTCTCCGAGTAGGTTGGCTGGCGACTCGAAATAGAAGGTATGCCAGACAAAGTCCCTGGTGTTGTCAAAAACGGTGAAGTTCCCATGGTGCTACTCATGTCAGATTTATTGGATGCGCTGGGTCTTCTCAAGGTTATAGCAGAGGGCTTCAGCATTTGATTATTTGTGACCTTACGAATAGTCAACCTGTCGCGAAGAGAGCGCACCATGTCGTTATATCTGGCACCAGCAGTAAATGATGAACTTCTGTTTCGCTCACCAAGAGGATTAGAATCAAAGAAAGCATTTCGAATTTTTGGGTTATTTCCTTGCACAAGTTGGCCGGAGTTAGGCTTCAGTAGCGGACGAAGCTTGAGTTGGCGTGTGCCAATTTCAACCGAGCTCCATCTTCTTGATACAATTGGAGCGGCTGGTTCAGACATAAGCCTTCTCTTACCCAGTCTCTTCATTAGGCAATGATCCCTACGAGTGTTTGGTAATGTCGCGCCTTCCAGGGCTGTTGGCGCAACCTGAGTTGGAGGAAGCCAGTGCGAGTTGTAGTCCTGCTCCGCTGCAGCTATTTTCTTGGCTCCCCTTTTCAGTCCTTGGTTGCAGGTCCCTCTGCATCGATGCTTACGTTTCTTTCCCATACCCTCAGTGTTTCTTCTACCATGCTTCTTGACCATTGTGAGGCTTTCAGAGCTTAGTCTGCGTGCCTTGTATGGGGCAACTATTCGATCTCGAATTGAGGACATACTATCCGTAGTACATGAATACTCAAATGAGCCAATATGGGAATTCTTTGAAGAGGAGGCCAGCATCGGACTTCCTTCTGTCGGCAATAAAGGTGATGCCATTGACGATACCAGATCAACCTCGCCATGACCGCCGCGCGATCTGCTCGGTGTAGAGGGACGTCGGCCTTCGAAATAATCATTTTGCAATGCATGCCGAGATATTGGAGCCGTACTGAAGGGCGATTTTTGTGGGTATTGTAATGAATAACCTTGTGGAGGTGTGCGAAGCCCAGGAATATCTACAACACACAACTGTCGCGATCTGGGATTGAAAGATCGATCGCCACTTGCGACTTTCCGGCCCATTCCCGAAGGGACGCTCAATATGGAAGATGGAAGTGAAGTCGGGGCATTAGGTCGTAGGGGAGGTTTTTGAGGGGGTTGATCATCAGTGAGACTTTGACTGCTAGTCATATTTGAGGTAATGATAGATGCTGCAATAGGGATAGGTTTTGGATCTTCGGGGTCTATAGGGTGTGCGGAAGACATCGTAAGATAGGTAATAATCACTAATTAATTTAAAACGGAGGATACGAAAACGATACAAGCAAGTAGAGCGTCGGAAGCAGCATCAAATTTTCAGACGTGTACTGAAACAAGGGAAAATGATCAAACTTGAGATAACGGCAAAGAACGATGGTTTATCTGCATCTCAAGAAAGAACTACTGGCAGCCAAAGTTTTGTCGTGGGGAAGCCACCACGATAAAGACCACTACTAATGGCTCTTCTTCATTATGAGCCATGCTACTACATCTCCAATAACTTGGAAAATCGAAGCTCAATTGTGCACGCCCAAGTTCTGTGAGCCTGGAACGATGGTACATATAACAGGACATTCGGTATACTGCGAATCACCTCTTCCATGTTTTGCATTAGGGGAGCGCACCAAGATTCCTGGCGACAAGGAGGTATTGAATGGTCAGTCTAGGTTCTTAAACTGACCAAACTAGAAACTGTAAATAGTTTTGTGTATCGCTTCGTTCAATTTGATTACAATAATAGGGCAAAGAAAGTTAAGGGTCTGGGAAAGATTTAGTTAAGTTGGAGATGAAATATTTGCACGTGACGTTTCGCCAAGATCGACGGGCGTAAAGCATCAAGTTTGCATCATATATTTTGGAACGTGTTTCTGCACGATGCAATGAGCCAACGACAAATGAATGCCAGCCCAATTTATTCCTCGCAAATCAGGTCGTCACCGTATAGCCTGTAAGCGCAATTCTTCAATCTTGTACATTCGAGGCTAAAATGATGCAAAGGTATTGCGCTATACAGGACCTTGCTCGAACAATGTCTTCGGGTTCCTATTCCGACTGAGCTCCAACCTAAAGGATTCACTCACCCACTAAAACATCTTGTACGCAAACAATTCCGGCGAAATGTACGAGAACACAGCCCAAAAATTGTTGTCGCTGCACTGAAAACGGGCTATGAGGTTCGTTCGCACCATTCAGAAACATCATTGTCTATATGTTTGATACTGACGAAGTCATTCTCCAGGCAGAGGAACTTATTCGTGCCGCTGGCGATGGCGATACAGATTCAAGACATAAGATATACGACCTACTACACTACCGGAAATCCGTAGCCACCAGATCCGCGCTCGTTCCTCAACCTCCTAAACTTAAGATTCGTTATCCAGAAGCCATTCCAGGTGTCCCTAAGCTTCTCGAAACTCGCCCTTTACCATTCGAAAAACTCTCTGGGCCTCGTCACGTACCTAAGTTTGCGAAAGCAATGGTATCAAACTTTCTTCGAATCCAGAAACCACAAAGTCCCTATCTAAGCCGGGTCTTGAGGGACAAAATAGATACTAGACAAAAGCGCGTAAATTCCCGTGAAAGAATAGAGTATTTGGAGGAGATAGCTTTCGCAGAGAATACTTGGGAAGACCTGATTGAGGATCAGTTGGAGAATGAGGGCTTGAGTGTAGACAAGTGGAACAAGAAACAGCCTGGATTGGGCTGGGGAGTTGGATTCTGGGAGAAAGACCTGCAATTGGCCGACGCTTTTGTGAAACATCTGATGGTGAACGAGGCACTCAAGGTGGTCGAACTGTCTAAAAAACAACTGGAAATAGTCGATAAGGAGAGAGAACTATGGAAACAGGAGAGGGGCCAAAGGAGACATGACAAGAAATTGGCTAAATTAGAGAAGAAGTTTCAGGTCTCGCATGAGCCAGCTCCGATTTAGGGATTCGATGGCTACTAATCAAGATGAGCAAGTTACTGTCACATTTTCTGGTGTGCTGTTTTCTTGCGGGTGTTTGCTCAGAGAGATTGGGGATAGAACTCGAGAAAATCATTGCGGCCTCGCGAAAGTAATCACCACTTGTTTCATTCGTTTATTTCTCATTTAGTAAATATCATAACGGGGATATAAAACCCAATTTCGCCGCGCTGATGCATCCGTATCAACATAAAGAAAAGTCATATGCATCACCCATCTCTACACAGCCTAATACGTGCTGTGATCTTGGAATTCCTCGTATCATGATTCGTCTAGTGAATGCGTAAGGCACTTAGTCGTATGTAGAACCCTCTTGTGGTTGGGGGAGCTTTTTGTTGGTAGGAGATGCCATGTATCTGGATACTGTAAGCCTCTATTTTCACTATGCAAATATATACATTGTGAAACTTACTTTCTCAACTCGGTCAAGACAGTCTCCATTGTGTTGTGGCGTTGCCAGTTCGCAAGGCATGCAAACTTTGAAGGGTCGACCTAGAGCATCAGTTAGCTTCAACTACTTTTCATGGCGCTCTAAATAGTATGCTAACCTTGCCATCATCTTGCACACCGGGAAGGTTGATTTTGTTAGTGAACTTGATGGTTGGTGGAACATCGGGATAGTTCTCTCCGCAATGCATGGTAAGAGAGTAGATGCGATTCTCGTGGACGCTCTATCGGTAGCCCCGCCATTAGTTCAAAGCCAGTATATTCTAATAAGTACGATTAGAAACATACGTGTGGAGGACCGAGAATCGTGCCATTCCATTTGGACATGTATAAGTCGTCGCCGTCCGTCAAACCATAAGAGCAAGCGTCTTTAAATAACGAGAATCATTAGAGATTGTCAAACTTCAATGCTTATTGACATCCGACTCACCAGCTCCAAGACCCTTTTCGCCCTTCTCTAACTCCTCTAGCAATCTGAAGTTTCTTGGTACTTTCGCCATCTTTTTCCTTTCGAAATCTTGGTTTTGGACGGTAGATAAAGTGTTAGTATTTGGAAATTCAAATATGTTGAAGTTGCGCAAGAGGGCAAGAAGTTGTAAATGGTTGATAAGTTTTATTGAGGAAAGGCGGCTGGTTTGATCGCGGGGTTGATCTCCAAGAATTCCGGGCGGTCAATGTCGGCCAATCCTCGGCAAAATGTCTATTTACGGTCCATCTTGATAAAGGACAACTGAACCAATGAATACACCTCAGCAATAACATTATGCCTTCTGAAAAATAATGGAAAGGTTACTATTAAGAACCAATCAATATGACGGCGCAGATTCTCGCCTCGGAGCTTGGAAATCTTATACAAGAGAGTAAGAGAAAGCATACAGATCTTAGAAATGTAAGTTCATTTCTATGCGGCCGCCATTCAGTCAGGCCCCTTTACGTTGCTGATTTGACAATGTCAGGCAGCAGAAAAGAGTCTAGATGAGATCAAGGGACTACGATCAACTTCTGAAGCCCAAATAGCTGCGGGTAAGTTTGTAGATAAAGATATGATGTTATCATCAGAAAATGCACCATAACGGTGGCTGATGTGCAGTTAGACCTCACTCAACGACCAAACTTCGTGACACCTTTCCTCATTGCTTGCGGAACCAAAAACGTCAAATTCACTGGAATCGCAGTTGTTTGCCTTCAAAGATTAGTTGTGTCTCGTGCACTTCCTAAATCAAGGCTCAAAGAAGTTTTGGAGGCACTTCGAGAAGCTACGTCAGCTGGTCTTGATGTACAATTGAAGATCCTCCAAGCATTACCGTCACTTTTGCAAAACTATGCAGATGAATTGAAGGGGGAGCTGTTAGCTGCAGCTCTAAACATATGTACCATTCTTCAGGCAAGTAAGAATGGGATTGTTCTTAATACAGCCGCTGCTACCCTTCAGCAGTTAGTTGTCTCTGTATTCGACAAGGTGGTGACAGAAGACAGTGAGTTTATGAATCGATTACCAAGCAAAAGAATTTATCTAACCACGGGATAGAAATTGCTTTGGAGGTGCCCACTATAGGCGAGGCCCCAACCGAAGATGGTGTCATCCAACTACGTGCCGCCGCTTTGGATGCTTATAGAGTTTTCAACGACATATGCTTATTGACGGAAGCTCAAAAGCCTCAGTTTCTAAGATCAACAGGTCTCCCGCAAACCTTTGGACTCGAGCTAATCGAATCCGTTTTGACTAATCATGCCGACATATTCTTATCGCATCCTGAGCAAGCAAATATACTTCGAGTCCGAGTTATGCCATTCATCATCAGCGCACTCTCAGAGAAACTAAATTTTGCAGTGACTGTCAGGATCACAAGAATTCTCTATACACTTTTGAGAAGGCATCTGAGTATTCTATCATCTGAAGGCGAAATGGCCTTAGGTCTGCTCACCCACATGCTTGACCATGATACTGCTTTGTGGAAGCGATCACTTTGCATGGAGGTACTGAGGGGTATTTTTGCCGAAGCAGCTCTGATTAGGAAAATATTTTCCATGTACGATGCCCAAGGGGAGAAGAAAAATATACTACGAGATCTTGTTGCAGCTTTCGTTAGAGTTAGCACGGAAAAGCCTGCCGTTATTGGCCTTGGTCATCAGTCCACAATTCCAATTGCCAGCCAGGGTAATAGTTCAGACCAAGCAATGCTCGAGGCTAGCGGTGTTCCTGGTATCATTAGCAGCACTGTGAGTTCGACTGAGCCAAGCGCTGGGGTCAGCGCGCAATGGAGTACAATGAGGGTACCGTGTATTGATCAGCTAGACAAGACGGATGCACCATCTATCCCCGAATCATATATCTATGCCCTCACTCTTGCATGTATTAGTGGCTTTTCCGAAGGGCTTGCAAAGTTTATCCTGCCACTGACGGTACCTGAGCGGCCTCGAAAAAAGGGTCCAAGACATTCTGAAATTGAGTCAAAACTTTCAGATTCCCGTTCTAGTACCCCTGATATCAAACCAATCGAGAGAAGCTCATCTTATAAAAAGAATCCAATTCCTATCAATCCATTAACACTTGAGGATCATCATCTCTTTCAAGAGGTCAAGATTTGCGCCGGTATCGTCGACGAATGTTGGCCTGCGATCTTGGCAACTTGCTCAACATTTCTCTATGCGGCGCTGGACCAAGAGTACTACCATGGCTTGGTCAGATCATTTCAAAAGTTTACTCACGTTGCAGGGCTTCTACGGCTTGCGACGCCACGAGACGCATTCTTGACAACCTTAGGAAAGGCGGCAGTACCGTCCAATGTCTTGACAGCCACTACAACTCAAGTACAGAGTCCAACGACGCCCACGGCGGATATGTCTTCTAGCTCCAGCATTTTCAACAACGCAAGAGGGCTATTGAGTGTTGATAGCTTGGTGAGCAACCCTGAACGCAATAGACATGTACCCGTTGATGCATCTAGTTCGTCGCTCAACACACGCAATTTGCTTTGCCTTCGCGCACTACTGAATCTAGGGATCGCATTGGGACCCACGCTTGAATCGGCGTGGGTGATTGTTCTTGGTACATTGCAACAAGCTGATTTGGTAATATTTTCGAGTTCCAAATCCGTGAGAACTCCCACCACACCAAGACCAGAAATCCAGGATGTTAGCAATACTTCTGCATTATTGGCAAACTTTGGTACCGAAATCAAAGCAGTCGAAACTGCTGCTACAAGATTGCTAGAAAGTACTATTGATTTTCCTAATGAACCATTTGTGGCTGTCGTTTCAGCTCTTTGTGACTTGTTCAGCAAAGAGGAAATCCTCAAGATACCAGAAAAGCCAGTACCTTCTAGTCCATCATCACCTGAAGGAAGAAGGCCGTCTTACGCTCATAAACGGGCCCATAGTATTGTTACAGCAAGTTCTACTCAGAATCAAGAGGATCTGTTTGCGTTGGCAAAATTAGGCGATATCGCAAGCATTAATATAGATAGATTGACGACACACGAGCCTGGCGTTAGCGGATGGCAGATGTTGACATCAGAATTGATTTCTGCTTCTTGTTCTCTCACTGCAACACCTTCTGTCAGACTAAGAGCTGCGGAGATTCTTGTTAGAATTGTGATTGAAGCGGCAACTTCCACACTCGCAGACTCCGAGGTTCGACGAGGTCTCGTCCAGACCATGCTACTTCAAGCGTTGAGTCGTGCCCTGCATCCACTTCAAATGGAAGATAGACAGGTCACTGTGGCCATACATTCGACCGATGTCGAAGTCCACAAGACTATTCTTGAGGGCCTCAAAAGTATTCTTGAGCAATGTGGAGAGAAGCTAATCAGTGGCTGGGACATTGCATTTGAAATCCTCGGCAGTGTCTTCATCAATTCTGACCGCGAAGCAAAAGTAACATCTACTCGATCTGCTAAATTAGTCCGCTCTGCTTTCAATTCTCTTCAACTCATCTGTTCTGACTTCCTTTCGTCATTACCGAATTCTTGCTTTCTAATACTTGTCGACACCCTTTACCATTTCTGTACGCAAGATGATGATCTTAACATTTCACTGACGGTAAATCGCACCCAAGAAAACTCCTCGATCATTGCTAATAATTTTTAGACTGTTACCTTCTTCTGGGTATTGTCAGATTTCATCTCTAGTAGAACCAGTTCTTTTTCACTTAGCCCTGATCTTATTGAAGATTCAACCGAGGAAGCTCTAATCGAAAAAGCATCTGGTGATGACCGCGCCGTTTCAGACGCAGCTTTATGGATGCTTCTCTTACTACGACTCACATCCGTTACAGCAGATGAAAGATTGGAGCTTAGAAATAGTGAGTGCAATCTGCTATTGGAATGAGGCCTTAACTAACTGTCGCAGGCGCAATTCAAACATTGCTAAGGATATTCGATGCATATGGAGATCAGCTCAGCGCAGTAGCATGGTCTATGTGTCTGAAATCAGTCATTTTCAGATTACTATCCTCAATAGAGGCACATTTACAGTCTATCACTGACCCTACGCCGACGCTTACATTATCTGATAAAGACAAGATAGGATGGAATGAAACTACTGTCGTGGTTTTGAGCGGCATTACTAATCTATTGGCCGATTATTTAGATGTCCTTACTGACCATCCCACATTTGAAAGCTCTTGGAAAACCCTTTTAGAACATTTCAAGACGATGCTGGATTTCAAGATTCTCGAAGTCAATACAGCTGTCTTCAAGGCCTTACAACAAATTCTTTCCCGTGGTAATATCAAAGAGGGCACGCGAACAAATTTTACCCGATCTTCAATTGATATGGCATGGAGTCTTTGGTCTGATTCTCTGCCTTCAGTGAACATCGATGTGTTGGATAAACGTGTTGACAACCAGGACTATCTGGTTGCTTATGTGTCTGCTCTTCATGAGATCTATCGTCTTGTACAAAAAGACCTCGATTCAAATCGAGTCAAAAGAATGCTTACTCTACTCCGAGAAGCTATACAACAAGCGAGCGCTTCCACCTATTCCGCAGATATTGAGTACCTTACACCACTACAGTCTCAAGTATTAGAGTCGCTTAAAATGATTCGTACTGATATTCAGGGAGTCCCTGCTACCTTGATTAGCCAGGTTGCCGAATTTGTTGCGTTGGCTTTCGTGCCGAAAGATACTACTTCTAACGTCCAGAGGCCAACATACGTGGCTCTGTCCAAAGCTTCGATGGTATTATCCGAAAAGCTCATTCTGTCGCATTCCTCGGAACCAGATATATATACGAGCGGTGCTGTATCTTCTTCTTTGTCCGCGCTTGCGAATCCCATCGTTACAAAGTACTCGTTTCCTATAATCTCAAAGAGCATATCGCCTTGGCGCCAGGCCACAACGTCAGCACTTGCCATCCTGGGTGCCATTTTGCCAATAATGCCAACTATTACCTTGAATGACGAAGCCGTACGGTCTATATGGGCCTCGACGGTGAACATAGCTATTGGAATTACTTCTGCAGATTTTGATGCTGCGGTAAAATTGGCCGATATCAAAGATGACCAGGATTTCGACATCGCATCATTCCTAACCTTGCGCGAGCTCATCACGCCCGCACTGGGCTCCGAAGTCATACCCGATCGAATTCGTCGCACTTACACTGAATCACTTTTCCACATGTCTATCATCCACCCTGCACAGCCCAGCGAGCTTCCGCAGCCCGGCCAGGAACTACTAGCCACCTTATATCATCCCCGCAAAGGTCGCACTGTTGATCCCATCCCCTCACCCCGTGCAAAAATGAGCTACGTTTGTTTTGATGAACTTATCTCTCTTGTCACTCTCAACGATGGCTCTGTGCCTCGCATTAAGCTTGCTCAAGCAGCTGCGCCATACTTAATACTCAGATCAGGCCTCACTCTTCGCGCATATATTGCTGATCAACCACTGCGCGGTCGCATGCCACAACCATTGTCCCAACGCAAAGAACTTTTATACATCCTTAAGAAGCTTGTCGAGTTGAAGTGTGAAAGCGAGGCAATCCCAGATACACCGGGTGTGGAGAGTGAAGGCAAAAAACATTTACATCGCTTATATCCGTTGTTTGTGAAGGCAATGAGAGCAGCAGCGAGGGATCAAGAGGTTTTGGAATGGATTGGAAAAGCGTTAGAGGAGGTAGGGATGGAGTTTGGGCTTTGAAGAAAGATAAATCTGATGTTCTGAAATTTTTTGAGAAAGAGTTGGGAATGCATATTAGAGCAACATTAGAAACATGACGTTGGTGCTTTTCGTTACTCTTTAAATTGCATTAAGGTCTACATCTTTAGCTTGAATTAGAACCTGTTTTTTTTCGCTTGCGTCGTTCCATATTGAAAGTCCAAAATCACAGGTTTCAAATAAGTTTTATTTTATGGTTGAGAGAATTTTCAGTTTGTTTGAGTTGCAAAGACTACCTCTTCAATACTTGGGTAGGTAAAAGGTTTTTTTTGTCAGCAGCATCTGACCCCGCCATAATAAATACAATATACAGTGGCTCGCTCATAAAAGCATATCGCTGATAGTCATACATTCAACTCCCCTCCTGTTTTCCTGGTCCCTGTTCTCGATTGCCTTTTAGCACGTCGCTTTTTTCTTCTTCATGTCATGTTATATCGTAAGTCTACTTTCTGGTGGCGTTCTCAAAAGACGCAAGCATGCTTCTCTTCATCTCGTCATTAGGGGACTCGTTTTCTGTGCTGGTCTGTTCGGCGCTCTTCTGCCCTTTCAAGACCTTTGCGGCCATGGTCTTCGCTTGAGCATCACCAACTTTTCCGTATACTGCCATGGCGCTAGCAATCATGCTTCCGATATCCCCCACATTTCCAGGGACGACAACGGCAGTACCCTCTTTAGCGAGCTTGCCAAATGCCTCAACGTACTTTTCAGCTACACTGAGACTAACAGCCCCTTGAGCCGATTCCTCTCCTGAAGCAATTGCCTGAGCTACAGCCTCAATACCTGCAGCTGTGGCTTTTGCCTTCAACAAAATAGCTTCAGCCTCACCACTTGCCATATTGATTTGTTCGCTTCTCAAAGCCTCAGATGCCAAGATCACACTTTGCTTTCGTCCCTCTGCGATATTGATGGCGCTCTGTCTTTGACCTTCGGAATCGAGAATTTCCGCACGTTTGCTACGCTCAGCAGTAACTTGTCTGTGCATAGCCTCCATAACTCCTTCCGGTGTGTGAATATCCCTAATTTCGTAACGCAAACAAATTACACCCCATTCCTGCGCGGCTTCGTTAATGGCGGCTGTGATGTTGGTGTTCAAAGCGGCGCGCTCCTTGAGAACTTGATCGAGGGTAAGTTGTCCGATTTCCGAACGCATAGTTGTTTGTGCCAGTTGAGAGATGGCATATTCTGCATCCTCGACTCCATAACTTGAGATATGTTAGTATATTCTCTGACCGAGAGATGAAGGTAGGTTACCTAGCCTTATAGGCATCAAAGACTCGAGTATAAAGCACACCATCAAGCTCCAAAGTAACGTTGTCGGTGGTGATCGCACTTTGACTCGGAATCTCAATCGCAGATTCCTTTAAGCTCTTGACATATGCGATCTTATCTATTATGGGCAATAAAATGGCGAGACCAGGCTCCAATATGCGGTTGAACTTTCCCATCCGTTCTACAATCCATGCTGTTTGTTGGGGAACGAATCGAATAATGGTATTTGCGGGTAAGGAAGGTCGCTGAAAGTATGAAGTCGGTATGTTCGAGTTATTAATTCCCATCAATCCGCTATTCGGTGCTCTTATTCTGGAAGAGGCATGGAGCTGTCTTTGCTGTTGTGTGTATCTTTGAGAGAGAATGGTTTGAGCTCTAGGTAATAGAACTCGAGATGTGATTTTTGGTAGAGAAGCCGAGAGACTATGAGATAGTCCCGGCGCACTCATGGCCATACGATAGGTTGCCTCTAGAGACATCGTTTCGATTTGTATATTCGTATGGGGGCGATAGCTGTCTTTCGTAATGACCTTTCGACATCATAAGATGCATGGCGGAGCTGGTCCGAGAAATTGAAGACTAGCGGCCGCGTCCCCGTGCTGATAAGCTCCATTCGAGCTCTCACTTTCTACTACCAATTTACAAACTTACTACGATTGTTCCAGCACATTTGATCCATTAACCTCTCGCAAACTTGACGATATACAATTCTTTGAACCGCGGCTTCACCACGTATAGTTTCAACCTCATTAATCGATTCAGATCTTTTCGACACGATGTCCGAGTACTGGAAATCAACGGTAACTCTCAAAATCTACTTGCAACATACAATTACTCTAACACTTTCACAGCCTAGTTACTGGTGCAAGCACTGCAAACAATACGTCAAAGATACCAAGCTCGAGAAAGCCAACCACGAAGCCAGTCCGCGCCATCAAGGCAATCTCAAGCGATTCCTGCGCGATCTCCACCGCGGCCACGAAAAAGACGAACGGGAAAAAGACCGCGCCAAAAATGAAATTGCCCGTCTAAACGGCATTGTGAGCGGAAGCGGCGACGCAGGAAGTTCCTCACAAGCGTCACGCCCTAGTTCTTCGACGCCAAAACCGCCCGCGACGGCCGCGCAGCGAAAACAACAATTGGCGCAATTGGCGGAGCTGGGCGTTAGCGTTCCAGATGAATTTAGATCGGATATGGCTATGGCGGGCGAATGGCAAGTCACTTCTGAGCGTGTTATTGATGATGGGAGTGGGGAGACGAAAGCCGATGCGCTTGCGTTGGGGGTTCGGAAGAGAGAAGCCGAGGATGAAGATGAGGAGGCGAAGGAGGCGAAGAAGAGGAGATGGGGGACAGCGATCCGCACATATCCTACGGAGAATAACGACGATGATTTAGATGCTTTGTTGAGCCATAGCAACAAAGGCAAGGGTCCCGATGTGAGGTCCGACACGAACGACGGTATCAATATAAAGATAGAGAAGAAGCTCGAAGAAGATGTGGAACCTCTAGCGAATAGCAAAAAGGAGGAACCAGTTGTGAAACCTGAAGCAGAGGAAGATGTCCAAATCGACATAAAGCAGATCCCAGAAGCTACAGAGCAGAACAGTGAGCCCGCAGCATCAGGAGTCGTCTTCAAGAAAAGAAAAGCCAAGAATATTCGCCAACGATGAAACGGCGCAATCAGAATTACGTATTTAATTACTCAAAATCAAGCAAACCATCCCGGCCATTAAAACCCAGTCATTGGACATATCACAGAATATTGAACACAAAAGTTCAAGCAAACCCAATTATAGTGGGGGGAGAACCTCATGTTGCGGGGGCGGGGCACCTCATGCCTACTAATGTAGGTCATATATGGTCTCCGATTCCACCTCGCCATGAAACTTAACTTCGTAGAGAATTTTATCACTTGGATGCAACAATGGATGGAAACACCGCTAAGAGAACGTCCTCACATTTTGGCTTACGGATGGAGAGGTAGGTACTGAGTAGCATGTGGGAGCATTATGCAAGCAAGTGGAAAGAAGAGCTCCCAATTCGGACTCCATGCAGCTAATGATTCGTACATGAAGGACAATAAAGTCACCCGAGAAACTTCTGTGTCGGGCATTCTCAGAAGAATTAATCGACGCAATAGAAACCTTATAGTATTTTCTAATCCACACATTACGCCTCAGTATCACAAACAATCCCCATCTGATTATTTAACTGTATAATATAATTTGAGTCTATCCATAACTAAGTAGCCCATATTCCCTCACCCCACAAGCACATCCCATCCCCAACCCCATTCCAAAAATCAGCCTTCCTGCACCATGAGTCCGATCAAATACCCATACCTACAAGCCCGTGAATTTTTGGCTGCACACTATAGAAGTATACTATGTCGGTTCCTGAATAACGAATCCATCGCCAATTACGCCTATAAACAGTTGTAATATATCACCTCTCAGATTCCTCTCCACTCCGTTCATCCACAATCTCGCTGGTTGTAAAAAGAAAAGTACCGCTACGTACATACATGTAGGTCATGTGTAGTAGCTAGTGTGCAGAAAGGAAATACATCGCAGTGTCAATTCGACTTCGCTAATTATTCATGCATCACATTACATTGTATCATCTCATCATGAACAATCTCGCCCCCTATCAATTTACTTCTCTCTTTACTGAGTTATTTCGTTGTTGGATTGGTTTTGTAAATTTGATCCCAGTTGTTTCCCATTCTCCTCTGCTGAACTCATGAGAGCTGGGGTATCCGGTGTGAGCGTGAGCCGGGGTGTGACAATGCTGGTATCGATTTTTGTGTCTGGCATCTTGAGCCCCTTTGGAGCTTGGTGGTTGGGCTCTGATTTCTGGGGAGAATCTCGAGGTCGTAAAGTTTCCATGCTTACATCCATGTCTTGAGCAGCAGTTTCATCGGGGCTTCCACGTCTAGAGCCCGATGCTTCACGTGCATTTTCAACATGAACCGCATCAAGCGTCTTCTCGTTGTCATTCTCTTTTTCAATCATGGCCGTTATACTCCGAAAATTGAACATAGACTCAGCTCCCGTATCGCCATCTTCGTTCCCCTCATTTGTCTCTGTAGCACCAGGACTTTCAATACTTGTAGAAGAGCCTTGAGGGTTGGTGCCATTACCTGACTCAGCTATTGAAGATGAGGCGCTAGATGCGGTACTCATTTGTCGTAAGTGAGAAGGCTTGTCAGGGCTTGTAGGTGAAGGAATAGACTGGTGAGTCTCTAACAAGCTAGAACTCGTTGAAGGATCTGAATACTGGGCACCAAGAAGTCCATTATCCGTAGCACTCCCGTCGTTACCCAGATAGGGGCGAGCAACACCTTTTCCTTTTCCTTGTGGAGGCTCTTCGACTTCTTCCGGTGTCACTTCTGTAGCCAAATTGCTTGCGGCACTATCACCTCTCCTTCGCCCAGTAAAAGTGGCAGCTAGACTGTTGCCTAAGTTCAGCATACTCGAACTAGCTGAATGTCCGTTAGTGCCATAAATCGATTTCCTCTCTTTCTTCTCTTTCTTTTTCTCTTCTTTGGCCTGCTTCTTTGCATTTTTTGCAGCCTCCTTGGCGGCTTCTTTGTCGGCCTTCTTCTTTCGTTCCTCTTCGGCCACGATACTGAGTCTGATCGCCTCGGCCATCATCATATCCTCGACGTCTCTCGTTCTTCGAGCAGCATTAGAATCTCGACCTTCCCTACG